CCCCCCTCCCCCCCCCCCCCCCCCCCCCCCCCCCCCCCCCTCCCTCCCTCCCTCCCTCCCTCCCTCCCTTCCTTCCTTCCTTCCTTCCTTCCTTCCTTCCTTCCTTCCTTCCTTCCTTCCTGTTTCTGTTGTTGTTTTGAGACAAGAGAGACCAAGATTGAAATTTGGGGTGATGATCCTCCTTCAATCCATGACTTCTGGGATTATAGGCTTGTGTTACCACACAAGACAAAGTTCTTTTTGCTTGACCTATGTATCTGATTTTTCTGAACAGCCCTCAAAGTAAGGTGAAATCAACCATAATTTAAACACGGGAAAAGTTACTAGTACAGTACTTGTTTGTGAGTTTGGATTCTATCCTATTGTAGCAATTTTCTCACTGCTTTCTAGATAACATATTCAAGGGCCCATTTGAGCATGTCATCTTTGCTTCATAGACAGCATAGGAGGTTAAAAATACTTAACATCATTGTAGGAAACCATCACTTTATCTTTCTGAAGATTTTTCTAGAAAGAAAGGATAAAACATATTAAATAGAAATACATTGTTATAATGGTTATGGTATTGTTATACCTACAATTTCAGCACTCAGTCAGATGAGGCAATAGGATCGTGAATTCAAGAACAGACTGGCTACTATGTCAAGACTCTGTATACAACCAAACAAAATGAGAAGAAAGCACTTGTGCATACACTCCTGGCTGCTCTTACAGAGGACACTGGTTCAATTCCCAGCACCTTTATATGACATCTGTAACTCCAGGACAATGTGTCCGATAACCTTTTCTGGACTTCTCAGGTACCAGGCATGCATGTGGTACTCAGATATACAATATAGACAAAACACCCATATACAGAAAATGAAAATAGTACTAATTATAAATAACCAACAATTTTCAGCAACAACTGTGTGATAAACAGCACCTTCAGCATCTGTGATCAGCAGGACATCCTATTCTTAACTGCTGAGCCATCTCTCTAGCCCAAGGACATCCTATTCAATAGCTTCTGGGGACCTGTTCAGAGATCAATTCGAGGGTCCTGACACCCAGGATTGACATGAACCTTCTTGGAGACACAGGGGAAATAAAAATATTTTCTTCTATGCATCTTAAATTTGCTGTGGGCCTGGAAATTTGGCAGAATTAAAGACAGCTTACCAGGAGACACATTAAGAACAAGCCGTAACACATTCCTTAACACATGTTTCAGTGAGGCACAAATCCAGCCTCTTGGCCAAGGTTTATCTGTTGACCCCAGAGACAGCAGCCTACAACTGGCAGTAGGACAATTGTAGAACACAGGACAAAATGAATAGACTTAGAATATGAAGACCACTTGTAGGGTCAAGTACCTGTGGACTCTTGATTTCTGTGAGGGTCTTCCTGACACTTATGAGTCCTGAGAGAATTTGAAAGAAGGTTTTAAGACATTCAGGAATGTGTGCGAGAGTCTGTTCTCTTCTTATCTCTAGTTAGTTAACGGATTATCCCAGTCTGATTTCCATCCTCCATCATTACTCTCTCCAGTCCTTTAGGATAATGGTTTACTCGTAGCATTATTATTACCAAGAACCTAGGACAAGGGCAAACCCAGGCTGTGGGATATCCAAAAGTCTACCACAATTCATCAGTGAATGATGATTTATAGCACAAAGCAAAGGATGTAGATTTACTGAGTATAGTCACACTGGGGAGAGCAATAGATAAAGCAGTCTAGTGACCCCAAATCTGTCTTCTGGGTATAAGCTTTAGGTTTAAACAGAGGAAGAGCTGGGGCTGTTGATCAGAGTCAGATGTTTTAAGCAGTCTTGATCAAAGTGTGGCTGTTTGATTATTACATTAGTTTTGGTTCAGCAAGGCTTCTGAAGTAATCGTCATTGTTATCACTTGTTGAATGCTACTCATTGTGGCTATCCCTGATCTACAGTGAGATACCAGCACAGATAACTGCCCTCATTTGGAGGAAGATAATTCAGGGAGGCTTTCTATTACTTGTTGTTGAGTTTACCTATTTGTCATAAAGGTGTTTACTCACAGAAGGTGACTACAGGTTTAGGTCAATGACCAGAGACCTTTAGGTGGTTTGGGGAAGTCCGATGAGATTTTGAGAGCTGACAATAACATATCTTTGTCACTGTTATCCTTAGCACTATGGAAACAGAGCACATTTTTGTAGGTTCTTGATTTATAAATGAGAGACTCTATGAGGCCTCAAAAGGGAACATATGAAGATGGTTTTATTAAGGTTAGATTAATCAACAGAGTTAGTGGACTGGATAATTAGACACTTGTTAGGAGAATGGAGAAGGAAAGAGGGAAGAGAAGGAGAACAGCAAGGAATACTTTAAATAGAATCTATAGGTAAAAGACACTCTTACAGTACAAGGTAGACATATTGAATAAAGAAAGAATTGGATACTCAGAGTTTTTCTTATGTGAGGGAAAGCTGTTTCTCTTAGTCTATTTGCTTTTAAAACTATTTTTAATTATGTTAAGCTCTTCAGCATGCATATATTTTTGTATTGAGACTATTTCCTCAAACTTCCTTTGTCCTTGTTTTCATTGCTCTTTCTCTCATAAGTCTCCTTTGTCTTCCTGAATGTTTTACTTCAAGATCATTCCACAGATGGATATAGACACATATGGAAATGTTTTAATATAGAATGTAATCATCAATGAAAGAAAGCATTCAGTATTTTTCTCTGAGATTATTAAGTGTAGCAATGGAATACTATGAAACTATTTCTTACAATCTAAGAGAGTGGAAAATTTTCTGGACCTCATTTGGTTAATTTGTTATTTAACTTTGGTTAATAACAAATCTTGAGGTCTCGTAAGACTTAATGCCTGTTAGCCCTGTCACTTATACTGCTTGCTTATCCTTCTTCCTCTTTGGTGTTCCTGTTGGCTTTCTGTTTTCCCACTCGGGGCCACCCTAGATTGCAGACATCCAATTAAACCTGAATATGGTTTAATTTGGTCTAATTTGGTCTGATTGGGATTATTTGCATCAGTGGAGAGACATGTCTTTAAGGAATATCCCTAAGAGGGATAATATACAATAAAAGGATTAATAAAATCAGGCAAAATTCTGACCCTGCCAAGAGATGAGGATGAACTGTAAATTACAATATAAATTATAGGGCTATTGGAATACCAGTTGTAGTATTTCAAATGAGGAAGTGTGACATATCTGTGATAGTGAGCAAAGTGCTACTTAGGGTTTTCTAATGATAGCTGACTTTCTGAATTAATTTAGAGTGTAATTTGCCAACACGTTTATTGAGCTGCATTAATACATTTTAGAACAATGTAAGGTGACACAGGAGAGCACGATGAATCTTATCTAGTGAGACTATAGGAGTCGTGAAGAACCCAAGACTCAAGCACGTATGCTGAGCTTAATAAGCACAATGTATAAGGTTGGTAGTGACTGAGCTGGAGGAGAACAGGCTATTACAGAAGCAAACAGCTGTTTAAACAAAGGCAACATTCCAAAGATTCATCTGTGATATAAATCTAGGTTTTCTTGAATAGAACTTATTAAACAAGCAAAGTGGAGAGAATCTGAATTTTGAGTGAAACCTTAACACATAGAAGAAGAAAATTAGATAACTAAATTGAAGGTAATATTCCAAAGAAGTTTTGTTGTCTGTGTGCTTGGGCACAGATATCAAACTTTGTTTGAGAAAATTTATAAAGTATTTTTATTAAGATTTATAAAACAAATACAGGGTGAGGAAATTAACTAAGGTTCTATATCAGAATTCACGTTTAGAAATAAACACCCTGATGATAGTTTTGCATCTTATAAAGTAAGTCTGGTGTAATTATCTGGGGTAGAATGTCACAGCTAGCTTTGCTGTTTAGGAGCTGAAAATCCAACATCTTTTAATACATAATCTTTCTGGGTGTGTTTGCTGTAGAGACATGAAGGGATTATAAGAAAGACCATGGACTCACTCCAACCTTGGAGCCTTTGCAATCTTGGCCCCTCCTTTCTTGATCGAAAAAAAAATAGTACTGGAGTCTTGCCTTTTATTCTGCTCAAGTTACTGAGGAAGGAAAGACAAGAGTCAGACTTCTTGGACTGTGGACACCATGGATCTCAAACATAATAGTTCAGTGAAGTTGAATGATGGAAACTTGATGCCAGTGCTTGGATTTGGCACGTTTGCTCCTGATGAAGTGAGTGGGCCTCTCGGGAACTAAAGCATTAGATATTATATTCTGGGAGTGTGTTCAGAAGGCAGGAGACCTGCACCTGGTGAATGAGCCACCCGGGCTTCCCTTTCCCTGTTTACAATTTACTTCTGTTCGTGCCTGGCTATATGTATTGGTACTTGGTGAGATGCCAAGATGTTTGGAGATTTGGAGTTTAAGGATTTTGTAGGCGAATTATGTGTCATTATTGTTATTAACATTGTTTCCTGAAAAATCTCAATGCTTGCTATATATTTAAGTACTTATGTCTGTAAGTATATTGAATTCCTGATGTAAGTATTCTTACTAATTTTTAAACTTTTATCATCTAAAGGTCAGGCTTCTACTGCATTTTACTCTTGGTTAGAAATTCCTATGTGCAATGCATACAGGAGAAAATAGCTAACAGAAGGAACATCGGACTGCAGCTTTGGTGTGAGTTTTTTAGAAGAAGATGTATTTATTAAAGAATTTCAACTATTTGAACAGGTTTTAAAATTTCATATAGGTACACAACATATTTCGAGCTTATGCCCCACTCATTCCACACCTCCAACTTCTCTCAGACTCTTACTTCTCGTTCCCAACTTCATTTCTTCTTCTCAATTTCTCCTCCTCCTCCTCCTCCTCCTCCTCCTCCTCCTCCTCCTCCTCCTCCTCCTCCTCCACCTCCTCCTCCTCCTTCTTCTTCTTCCTCTTCCTCTTCCTTCCTTCTTCTCCTTCTCCTTCTTCTCCCTTCAAATAAGCCACTAAACTTATGAATACTGACTATATGTACTTGAATATGAGGCTGTCCTCTAGAACATGGCCAACCTACGTGTGGCCACATGCTTGAAGTAAGTGGATTTTCTATTTCCCAGAAGTCATTAACTGGCAGTAGCAGTTTTTCTGGGGGTATGGGGACAAGTTCTTGTTAGCCCATCCTCTGTGCATGCTGCAGTGTTGACTGGATTGATGTTTCTGCAGACAACCACAGCTGCTATCAGCTCATGAATGCAAGCTGTTCCATCCCATCCAGAAGACACTGTTGAACAGCAGTTTTCTGTTTCATAATCTCTGGTTCTTACACTCTTTCTTCCTCCTCTTACATGATGATCCCTGAGCCTCTTGAAGAAAGGGTGAGCAATAGAAATCCCATTTATGGGTGAGTCCTCTATGGACACCTGTTCTCTGGACTAAACAGTTGTGGGTCCTGGTATTAGTCATTGTGTATGGCAAAAAGAAGCTTCTTTGATAAAGACCAAGAGATGCACTAATTGATGGGCATAGATAAACACTTAAAACTTTTATAAAATGTCTCTGAGAATCCACATTCTATCCATAAGTTAGTGTTGAAAACTTGCAAAATATAAAGTAGCAATGGGGATGGCATCACACTTCTTACTGAACACATTATGTACCCATCCAATAAGTCATTGTAGTGATCTGAAAGTGTCTAAGGCTAGTCACAGGTAATAGAAGCACTTGGTGGCTTGGGAAGGATTGTCTCCAAATGACAGGGATCAATATATTCAATGTTGGCGGGAGAATGACAAAGTATTAGTATTGAACAGAACCAGTTTGTTTTAACTGACATTTATTACTGTTGTTAAAGATAGAATTGTATCTTAGTGAACAGAATGAAATCATTCTTCCATAATGCTTTCACTTGTAAAATTAAATGTAATACATGCCATTGAGAAATAGAAAAGAACAAACAGAAGCTTCTTTTACAATCTAGTAGAAATTTGTATTCTGAACGTGATTTTTACTCAATAAATGACCTCCCTATGGGGTCACTGCTGGAACAAAAGCCTGCTCCATTGTATGCTTTGTGGTCTTGTTTGTCTAGCTAAGTGTTCTGGGAGTAAAACAAACACAGGATATCTGATTAAATCATTAAACTATACACTGATTGACATTTGAGGAAATTTTGTAAGTATTATTATCCTGACTTTGGCACCCAGCAGCAGCTGATTAAGGTGTGGTCCTTGTCCTAGTAACAATAACTGGTCAGAAAAGTAGTTCTCAGCTCTCTGGGCATCTGCTACATCTAGATACTCTCACTGTGGTTTTTATGGATATGAATTTAGCATCCTACCCACCCTTAGTCTTCCCAGTTCTGATGCAGACCAAGGGCAGACTCATGTAAACTTCCTGCATGTAAAATTAGTGGATCAATTTTTGTCAGTAAGAATAAATATTAAAACCAATAAACTCCTATTTAAACTAGAAAGGAAAAATACACATTTTACCGGTCTGCAGGATCATCTATGATGGCTATACTTTTGGTTTTGAATTAGTTATTTATTAAATATATGCAAGAAAATAAAATAATAAATTATGAGGGGCAAACAGAGAGAAGTAGACTATAGATAGCAAAACATTAAATCAGGGGCTGAAAAACATCTAATAGAAACTAACTGTGGGAACCCCATTGAGGCAACCAGATTGAATTTTCCAGTTAAAAGTACATCCTGGACGGAGTGAAGTATCCCCTTGGATGAGGGTTCCAAGTAACTGAACAAATAGCATCAGAAAGAGTTGACATCATCAAATTGGATGCTCACTGCATCCAGCAAGAAGGGAAACTGAGGCAGTAAATTGGAGTTCTTTATTTATCTCTCTCTCCCTATGAATGAGCTTCCTGTGGGACAACTTTCTTCTGCTCCTTCTCTTTTTTCTCATCCTTCTTCTCCTGAGTGCCTTAGAATTTTTCTCCCAGTGCTGCGTTCCTGCTAGCTAGTTCCTTTCTTCCAACTAATCTTTATTGAATGAAACTTGCAATGACATGCTTCATAAGAATCACTAAATCATTCGGTCAAGATCTAGAAGTTAATCTTTTGTAGTCTGTATCTCCAGATAGATTGTAAATCTATTATCAAGTTTGTATCATCAAACAAGATCAACCATAAGACTGGCAGCAACTTGGAAAAAAAATGAAATGGAGATATAAATGGCTTTTTTTCCTGAGTTGGTCACATCTCCAACTCTTCCTACTCTTGTTTTATAGATTCCAAAGAGCAAGGCTAATGAGGCTACCAAAATAGCCATTGATGTAGGTTTCCGTCACATAGATGCTGCATACTTATACCAAAATGAGGAAGAAGTTGGACAGGCTCTGAGAGACAAGATGGCTGATGGAACTGTGAAGAGAGAGGATTTATTCTACACCACCAAGGTGAGCAGTTGTGGACAGAATGGCTGAAAGCCATTGCCAACTCAGATATGTTCCTAGGGAAGGAGATACCACCCCCTGCGTTTCAGATTGAATCCTAGCTTTATTGCAAAGACACACTATAGACAAATGAAGAACAGGGTCAACAGAATGACACAGTAGAAAAGATGCAGGCCGCCATGCCTGGTAACCTTTTATCCCTGGCTAGTACATAATAGAAGAGAAATGATTCTTGATGTCTTACCTTTACGTGTGTAGAACCCATGCACATGCACTGATGGTCTCTCTCTCTCTCTCTCTCTCTCTCTCTCTCTCTCTCTCTCTCTCTCACACACACACACACACACACACACACAAAAATAATGATAAAATGTTTAAAAAGAAAAACCTTGTTTTGCTTCAAAGTGTATTCAATGTGGCAGCTACTCAGTATCTCTGAATATCAGACATTGTTTTGATATAAAGTAAGGGTGCAGTTCTGTTGGATAATCTGGCCTCTCTGGGCCCTGAGTAACTAATTCTTCAATAGATTCCCAAGTGAGGTTGAGAATATTGTTCATGAAAGGGAAAATCCTCTTCTGAAATCTGCAATGAATACACTGGTATTTGTAATGTTTCCTCGGGTGGAAAGGCAGCCTTCCAGTGTGATTGCATCTGAGCTGAGGCCTCTACAGATGTATCCTACCTATGTTTACACTGGTGACAGCTTGTTTTTTGATGAGATCTCTTAGAATTGGTTCTGGGTTTGCTAAGAACAGTAAATCCTTTGTCTACTTTACAGCTGTTTGTTCAGTTTCTTGGAAGCCTCACCCAAGAGGATACATCACTCTACCCAGGATGGACTTTTAACTGGGAAATTCCATCTGGCTAGCTCAATGCATTGTGGTTTTCTACTAGATGTTGCTCCGTCCCCTGATTTAATGTTTTGCTATATATCTTCTATATCTTCTCTCTATTTGTCCCACATCCAACTCACTATTTCTTGACTCTTTTGAGACCAAAACTTCTAGTTCTTAAAACACTGAAATTAGTAGATTTCTAAATTCTGCTCATTCTCCTAAAATTGTCATAAATCAAGTAAATCTCAGTATTCTATTGAGGATGTGATCTATGATGAACAGCACAAAATTAGATTTGGTTATGGGTAGGATTTAGGAAAATTTGGATGAGGGGGAAACCATGATACAAATTGTATAAAAATTTTAATAAAAATACATAAGAACTTAGCCCCAGATATTCTTAGCTTAGCTGAGACCACCATAGCACATCTCAATCATTTCACCACAGTGTGTGATTCTGTTTGAAAACTGTAGATTTGGGCGACTTTCCTTAGACCAGAGTTGGTTCGTCAGTGCCTGGAGAGATCACTGAAGAAACTTGGGCTGGATTATGTAGACCTCTGCATTATTCATGTACCGATTGCTATGAAGGTCAGTTTTGGATTTTTATTCCCTAGTTGTGTTATCTCAGGCCAATGAGATTTTTTTCTGGGTTTTACTGAGCATGATACATCAATCTGAGATGAACAGAATAGATAAATGATTATGATTCTGCATGACTGCTGAGAGACCACAGTGGCAAGCCTTCTAAAAATGCTCATCCTCAATCTTTAGGAGGGTTGAAGTTCAAGGACCTCACTGCCTTCTATAGACCAGAGTGCACCAGGTTGTGGAGACTTCTGAGACTCCAGGGGGAGTCTCCATCTCCTCAGGACATGTTCTCACCTATGTCTGTCTCTCACGCTAGGACACAGAGATCTGATTTTGGGTGTTGGACAGTGGGGCTTGGGCTCCTTTGGGCCTCATGGTTTAATTTTCTTATCATGGTACATGTTTGCTGATCACATCTGAAAGACTCATTAACTCAGAATTGATTCATCATAAAATGGGAAGCAAAAGCTCATGATTAATAGCGAAAGTCCCATCCTTTATACTATTCTGTCACTGAAATATGGAAATTAAAACAGGAAGAGCCCTCATAGTTGGTGAGATTCAGTGCTTCATGAGAGTTCCGGGGGGAGAAAAGTGTTAGCAATCAAGGGGAAGATAGTCATGTATAATCTATTAGATAATTTCACTTTTCTTTCTCCAGAGTCCCCCCTTAAAGACACATGTGCACACATGTATGTGCACACACTCTCACACACACAGAGTGAATGTTGGATGAGTAAGCTCATTTGCCAATAGAAATTGACTATTAGAGAAAGTTTTGTTAACTTTCTGTTTCTCTCTGCATTATAGCCTGGAGAGGAACTTCTGCCAAAGGATGCCAAGGGAGAAATTATTTTAGACATAGTGGACATTCGTGATACATGGGAGGTATGTACTGCTGTGGGCAATAAGCACTGTGTGGCAAGAGAGGAACCAATTAACAAAGAATTAGAAGAGATGGACTTTGTTTCATTAACTGACAAGTCTAACACAAATCATAATGCCTAGTCTTATATGGTACCTTACTATTCTGTGTCAGCTGATATCTCTGTGAGGCCTGCTCATTCCTGTGAGGGAACAAATGAGGAGTGGATATGGGGGAGAGAGGAGACAAGGAGGAGGAATGGGAGGAGTGGTGGTGGTTGTGGGAACTGTGGTTGAGATATAATATGTTAGAGAAGAATAAACCACAACAGCAACAACCACCACCATCCCTTCTCTGTCTTTCTGTACTCTCATCTGTAGAGGAAGAGTTGAGAGGGGCTGAATTTTAATTTTTAATCTCAACTATAATTTGAGGTAGACATTTCTTTGCCTCCTAGATCCCATTAACAATATAAGCTATATGAAGGAAATCAACTGAAAGACACTCAAGAAGGTTTACAATACTATTCCAGGACAGATAAACATGCCTTTGGAGAAATGTAATCTGCCTTACCACTGAGCAGGCTGTGATAGAGAATGAAACCTGCCACTATATACCCTATCCTGTATACAGTTTGTCAACATTAAAGAGATAAATTAATAATACATTTGAACTAGCACAAGATTCTAGAATTCTTTGTCTTTAACTATAATGACATTTATTGAAGAACCATTATAATCCTGGCATCACAACAGATTCCACTGAAGAGGGTGGGGAAGGTAAGGGGAGACTTCTATGTACTTGCTGTTCTCAATGTGCATGTAAATGAATGAGCAGACAAATGTGTATTCATTGCAGGTGAGTGCCTTAGGCAAGGCTGTATTCAAGTATCAAAATTGTTTTAAAATTTTAACCAAAATTATGTAAGTAAATGAAGTTATTATGGAAGCAACTGAAATTATTATGTAAGTGTTCAAAAAGCCCAAGGAGAATCTCCAAAGAGCAGAGTACAAATAGGGTTAACTACATATCTTCTTCCTCCCCAGGCACTGGAGAAGTGTAAAGACTTAGGTTTAACCAAGTCCATCGGGGTGTCCAATTTCAACCACAAACAGCTGGAATTGATTCTGAACAAACCAGGGCTAAAGTACAAGCCCACTTGTAATCAGGTGAGCTCCAGTTCACCTGGGCTGTGCCTTACCTTCTGTTCTTCACAAACTTCTTCCTTCCTCTATACTCCCCAAATCTCTGTTTCAAATCAGCTATATAGGTTATAGCTATTTTCACTGAAACAGGAAATATCCATGACAGCTCAGGTTGATTAGAGTGGGAAGAACAGGATAGGGGACGGCAGGTTGATTGACTGAAATCACAACTCTTAGATGGAATACCACTGCTCATTAACACTCACAATGTGTGCTGTACTAAAAATCATTTAAAATCTTTAAAAAAAAATTTGATTGAAATAAAGCACAGCAAAATTGCCTTGCTCCTGTATTGTTCTCATGGCACCCTAGATAATTTGTGGTCGTTTCTTTCCTAAATTTGGAACAAAAATATTTATTAATAATATTCAAAGACTTTTAACCTTTGCAGAATTTAGAGCCACAAATGCACTGAGAATTGTGTGACTACAACTTTCTTCACTTGCGCCCATCAACACACTCAAGCAATAATTTCTCTTCTATACAAAATTGTCATATACATACTATTTGAAGTTTTGAGGCAGGCATTATATAGTTTTATCCTATATTTTAAAAATACATAGTTTAAAATAATTAACAATTTTAGTGTAATGGATTTTTAAAATGCTGCAGGATTCTTGGTGGTGGCAGGCAGCAGAAATGCTGCAGGTTCCCAAGTGGTGGCAGCAGGCCATGTGCCAGCAGGCCCTGAGAGCAGCCAGTCCCAGGCAGGGACAGCTGCAGGTCTTGGAGTGGTGGCTGGTTCAGGGCAGGGAGACACGCAATGGTGGGCAAGAGACAGAGACATGGATAGGCATGCCATGCCGAGTGAGGCTGGATATTTATTTGGTCGGTTCTGGAGGGAGAAGGGGAGAAAAGGAGAGAGAGAGAGAGAGAGAGAGAGAGAGAGAGAGAGAGAGAGAGAGAGAGAGGAGAGAAGTGAGATACAGAAGCTGCCTCTCCATAAGAGAAGCAGAAAAGAGAGAGAACTCATGCTGGAAGTTGAAGATAAGCCTGCCTCAATGAACAGGGAAGGAAGTGGGCATGGCTTGTCTCTTAAAGAAGACAGACCATTACATTCCCATCTCTTTTTTATAATAAAAAGGTAGGAGGTTAGGCACCACAGGTTAAAGGAATTGGGGCAGCAGAAGCTCAAGACTGCTCCCTGCTTATTTGTGGGCCATCATCTTTGGGGGGAACCTGAGAAGGCTGGGTGCTGGCCACATCCTGACATAGCTGGTTTCTTTGCTCCTGTCTGTTGTTTGTGGTATGGAAAATTTGGTGTCTCTTACACCTGTTTAAGGTATTAGTAGAAAAGAGGACAAAGTTTAAGGAAAAAAATGTAAGACCAGGGAATTGAGGGGGATGTATCTGACCTGTTTAAGGTGGATCCTTCAATTTGGCTCCCCGGAACTCCCAAGAATTCTTCAGGTTTGTGAAAACAGAAGTTTTAGGCAAAATACATTGTATAAATAGTAGCATATTTATGTCAGAATGGCTGTGACAGATATTTTTACACAATGAAAAGTATTTCTAAAACTATGGAAGGCAGCATGAGAGAGAAGTTTGATAATTTGTATTTGTCCTCATTCCTTTATAACTTGCAGGTCTTGTATTTGTATTTTACTGAAATTTGTTTGGTGAGGTTGTCCTTTTAAACTGATAAAACCTCTCACCTGTCAAACCGCATCAGAGAAGGATAAAATTTTACTTGAGTTACTGATTAAATAATGTCAGAGAACTTACGTTGGTTGGCACCTAGAGTTACTCTCCAGGGTCTTCCATGGTCACTGAAGTTTGTATTTGCCTTCTGCTGTTTAGTGCAGGGCCTGCCAGGCTCCAGAAGATCCTGTAGGCTAAGTAATCTATAGGAAGACAAGCCTACCTTGACCTGAGCAGCTAGGCTGTCAATTCCAGCAATTCTGTACATGTCTGGAGGTCTTCAGTTTAGATGAAAGGCAGTTTTTCCCAGTAATCAGCTCTTGACAGTTGAAGCGAATTGCAGATGGACTTTGTTCTGTGCCCATGTGTCTTCCGTCTTCTGTGGAAGAAATAGAGTGCTGCTGCTAGGAGCCAACCTGTCTCTTTTTGTTATGAAAAGTTTTTTAATAATTAAATATTTATTTAAATGTCATATTCCCCAGATCTCTGTGCATTTGAGGGCTGTTTATCAGGTATAACTACAGTATAGAACCTTCCTGGAGGGCTGGGTCTGAGCTTGACTGTACTGGCTCTAAACTTAATGGGTAAAATTTACACTTGTAAAAGGACAGAAAATAAAACTGCTTGCAATAAAAGGTTAACGGCAGAACTGATAATAGTAGAGAATAGCTTGATATATTTTAAATAAGGGTTGGATTAAATATAAAGTATTTTTATAAGAGACTTAAAAGTACACACCAGTTTAAAACATGAGACTTGTTTTTGTAGTCTGAACTGAGATGCAATGAACAATCATAACATTAAGAAAAGGTGCATTTAAGTTACATGTATGAACACACACAGAGACAGGAATTGGGCAAAGTGGATGCTCTTGTTGGGCCCTACCAAAGGCATGACACTGTGTAAAACACGTGTAACAGAGTCAGCAAGAGGTATTTAGAGACAAAAACTAAGTAAACCAAGGGGTCCCGTGAAGATGGCAGGACTTAGTCACCTGACCTAGCTCTCAGCCAAGATGGTGGCAAAGTCACCTAACCCCAGTCAAAATGGTAACAGTCACATGTTGTATGGAAAAGCCAGAATTTTTGAGCTGTAGGGATTTTAAGCTTAATAAGAGACCTAGAGGCATGATCTGCCCTGTAACTGAGCCACCATGCCATAAGCCATAGAGGAGAGCAAAAGGCTGGAGGGGTGAGGCTGGTAGCAGCCCCCAGCATACCAGGCCCAGGTCTTCCTGAAGTCAGGTTGCTTGGGAATGCAGCCCAAAGAGGGTGGTAAACTCCATCTAAGGCTAAATACCGGCAAGAGACCGATAGTCAACAAGTACAGTAAGGGAAAGTTGAAAAGAACTTTAAAGTGAGAAAACTCAGGCTGGAAGCTGAAGATCAGCCTGCCTCAGCAGATGAGGGAGGGAGTAAGTGTGGCTTATCTCTTAAAGAGACAGGAAAGACCATTGCACTCCCATTAAAGGGAAAACCTCACCAAACAAATTTCAGTAAAATACAAATACAAGACCTGCAAGTTATAAAGGAATGAGGACAAATACAAATTATCAAACTTCTCTCTCATGCTGCCTTCCATAGTTTTAGAAATACTTTTCATTGTGTAAAAATATCTGTCACAGCCATTCTGACATAAATATGCTACTATTTATACAATGTATTTTGCCTAAAACTTCTGTTTTCACAAACCTGAAGAATTCTTGGGAGTTCCAGGGAGCCAAATTGAAGGATCCACCTTAAACAGGTCAGATACATCCCCTTCAATTCCCTGGTCCTAAATTTTTTTTCCTTAAACTTTGTCCTCTTTTCTACCAATACCTTAAACAGGTGTAAGAGACACCAGACATTTCCATATGACAAACAACAGACAGGAGCAAAAAGACCAGCTATGTCAGGATGTGGCCAGCACCCAGGCTTCTCAGGTTCCCCCCAAAGATGATGCCCACAAATAAGCAGGAAGAAGTCTTGAGAATCCACTGCCCCAATTCCTTTAACCTGTGGTGCCTAACCTCCTATCTTTTATTATAAAAAAGAATGGGAATGTAATGATTGTTCTGTCTCTTTAAAAGACAACTCACGCCCACTCACACCTCCATCTGCTGAGGCAGGATGATCTTCAGCTTCCAGCCTGGGTTCTCTTTCTTTTCCGTGTCCTTCATGGAGAGGCAGCTTCCGTCTCTCCTCTCTCTCTCTCTCCTCTCTCTCTCTCTCTCTGATTTTCTCCCCTTCTCCTCTCCCTTCCATAAACACTAAATAAGTATCCATGTCTCTGTCTCTTGCCTGCCGCTGCATGTCTCCATGCCCTGGACCAGCCACTGCTCAAGGACCTGCAGCTGTCCCTGCCTGGGACTGACTGATCTCAGGGCCTGCTGCCTGCTGCAACATAGCCTGCTACTACCACTTGGGGACCTGCAGCATTTCTGCTGCCTGCCGCCACCAGAGATCCTGCAACATTTTTAATTTTTCCATTACAGCTAGAATACTGCTAAAACACCCACAATTTCAGCAATTATTGGTATCACTAAATATCTTGAGTGTCAAAATATGATTACATATTTTTATTTTCACGGTACTTGGGACTGAACCAGAGGCCTCACACACCCTAGGCAAATGCTCTAACAATGAGTTTTAGGTTGTGGTCTTTAGTAAATTATTTTGAGGTAGGCTCTCTCTGAATGATCTGATTAGCCTTGAAATTTCAATCTTTCTGCCTTAGTCTTCCAAGTAGCGAAGTGTTTGTCACTATACCCTGTAACACATTGTTTTATTTTTTATTTATTAATTTATTTATTGTTTAAGACAGGTTTTTTAATTGTTTTTATTGAGCAATATAATTTTCTCTGCTCTCCTCCCTTCTTCCCCACTCCCTTTTCTTCCCTCTCCCATAATCCCCACACTCCCAATTTACTCAGGAGATCTTGTCTTTTTCTACTTCCAATGTAGATTAGATCCATGTATGTTTTTCTTAGAGTCCTCATTGTTGTTTGGGTTCTCTGAAGCTGTGAATTGCTTTGCTTTATGTCTAAATGCCACTTATGAGTGAGTATATATTATTTTTCTAGGTCTGGGTTTACCTCAACCAGTATGATGTTTTTTAGATCCATTCTTTTGCCTGCAATTTCAAGATGTCATTATTTTTTTAACTGTGTAATATTCCACTCTAAATATACCACATTTTCTTTATTCATTCTTTGATTGCATGACATTTATATTGCTTTCAGGCTCTGGGTATGACAAATAATGCTTCTATGGACATAGCTGTGGACATGTCCTTGTGGTATGATTGAGCATCCTTTTGGTATATACCTAAAAGTGATATTGCTAGGTCTTGAGGTAGGTTATTTCCTAATTTTTTGAGAAATCACCATACTGATTTCCAAAGAGGCTGTACAAGTTTGAATTTCCACCAGCAATGCAGAAGTGTTCCTTCTACTCCACAACCTCTTCAGCATAAACTGTCATCAATGTTGTTGGTCTTAGCCATTATTATAGGTATAAGATGGAATCTCAGGGTAATTTGGATTAGTGTTTTTCTGATAGCTGAGAATGTTGAGCATTTCCTTAAGTGCCTTTCAGCCATTTTAGATTTCTTTGTTCAGAGTTCTTTGCTTACTTAAGACAGTGATTTTTTTTCCTCTCTCTCTCTCTCTCTCTCTCTCTCTCTCTCTCTCTCTCTCTTTCTCTCTCTCTCTTTCTCTCTCTCTCTCTCTCTGTGTGTGTGTGTGTAGATTTGGAGACTTTCTTGGAACTTGCTCTATAGTCCAGGCTAGCCTTGAACTCACAGAGATCTGCTTGCCTCTCTTTCCTGGGTGCTAGGAATTAAGGCATGCCCCCACTACTCTGCTATCTCCCCACACCTAGCTTTTTTTGATTTTTAGAGCAAATTGATTCAAAGTAGGGAGGTAAAATGGCCAAATATCTCCACTGCGTGGTACATATAGATATATAAGATATATTTTATAGATATCTAAAACCTTATAGATATATAAAGTTTTCTTGAAATCAGGGGTTCGCTCTCATGCGTTTGTGTCCCAGTTCCATCCTTAGTCTCTGGGGTTCCCTTCTCCCTGTCCCTTGTTCTCACTCTTACTTTATTCTCCTTTGATCTATTTATGAAAGAAATAAAGCCATTTCTCCTGTTAAGATTCTCCACATGATAATGGGAACTAGTCACTGGTCACTGTGAGAGTTTGGTAGGTTGCTTTTGAATTTCTTATACATTGAGGATCAAAGCAAAAGGCTTGATAACAGAAGACCAAAGCCATGTGAGTCCCTGAAGGCTAAAAGGCACGACATTTCCCCATCCAGTGCAGCCACTCTTGTTTATCTTTCTCCCCTTTTTTGTTCCCCTGAACACTGGGTTCTTCTACAAGGCTGCCACTTCTTCCCTCTCTAGAAGGCAAAAGGTTTTATCTTCAGCTTGCAGTCTTCTCACCTATGGCTATACCTAGTCCTTGCTCTAACAGGCTATAGCTTCATTCTGTAGAAACTGACAGAGACTGTAATTTGAAAATGGGAGATTTTAATCTTAAAATACTAATAAAGGACAGAAGAAAGTATTTCATCGAAACTTTGAAACACATTGTACTTAAGTCAGTATAGAAGTAGATGTGCCCTTAAGACACTTTTGAAATCTGCATGACCTTGTTGGCTCATACATTCTAATACCGATTTGTTTTGGAAATTTACAGGTAGAATGTCACCCATATCTCAACCAGAGCAAACTCCTGGAGTTCTGCAAGTCCAGAGATATTGTTCTAGTTGCCTACAGTGCCCTGGGATCCAGCAGAGACCCAACCTGGTAATGAGACCATTGGACTTTATTTCCTTATGTCAACATGGAATTGTTGACAAAGATTAACTTTTAACCTTGTGGAAAAGTTCAACTGTGAAGAAACAATTTCAACAGTGCAGGAGTTCCTATGCACCAGGGTTGAATTACAGGCTTGCCAGTGTTTTTTTTATTCTTGCTTTATCTGTTTACCTGTTTGCAGCACTAATACGCAGAGTTCTTAAAGAGATTTTAAGGCCCAATCTACAGAGATTAAACTACATATATCCTAGCCATGCCATTTTGAAACAGAGGGGGCATGTAAAACCCACATTCATATCATTTCTAGAAACTTCCTTATTTATACAATATTTAATGTTTGATTTAGGAGAAGCTTAGAACCATCTTCCCTCATAAAATCAGCTAATGTTATACAGAAACTCAAAAGAGAATTCCCAGAAGAAAATATGACTGTCTTTCCAAGTGGTGACATTGACTTGCACAGTATCTACCATGTTATAAGAGATTTTTCAAAGGATATATGCACCTGAATTTATGAACTTATACTTGCAATACATTGTTAAAATTTCATAGGCTTATGAAACTAGTACTGCTATTACATTTGTCAGTGGATTCTGAGTTCTGTTTGTAGATTCAGATACAATAAATTTGTATATGCCCACACTAGTTGATTTTTTTTCTTTTTCTTTTCCTTTTTTTTTTTTTTTTGGTTTTTTTTTTTGGTGTTTTTNTTTTTTTTTGTTTGTTTGTTTGTTTTTGGTTAAGTTGACATTTGACACATGCCTAGACTTATCTGCTAAGAGGAGGAAATCATAACTAAAAAAAAATGTCTCTATAAGATTGGCCAATTGGCAAGTCTCTGTAGTATTGTCTTTATTAATAATTGATGTGTGAGAACCCAGCCCACTGTGGGTGTGGCCAACATTGTGGTCCAGAGTTGTATAAGAGAGCAAGTTGAGTAAGGCAGTGGCCACCTTCCTCCATGGCCTCTGCTTCAGCTCCTGCTGTGAACCCCTTTGAGGATGGACTGTTATGGGGAAGTGTAAGATGAGATAAGCCCTCTCCATCCCAGGCTGTGCTTGTCATGATGCTTTATCATAGCAATAGAAACCATAGCTAAGACAGAGCATGAGAAAGAAGACATTTGATGACTGTCAAAGACATTGTCTCTGGTCCTGAGCTTTTAATAGAGTATAGCCTTTAATGTAAAAACTTGATTTTCTTAAGTGAAACAAAACAGAAGTTAATCAATAATAATAATAAATAGCTTTTTGTATGTTTTTTAAGTTCTTATTACTTCTGACACTTTTTCACCATCTCTCAGACTATTAATTTTTGCACGATTCTTTTGCTCTAGAGAAGTTTTGCCTGTTCTGTAGGAATGCTGTGCTTATGGGTGAGGGGAATGGATTGAATTAGGATCATGCTATGTAGAGCAGGCTGTATTCAAACTCATGGATGAGAACATTTTTATGTAGTCTCCCAAATGCTAGGATTGCAGATTTATGATCCCATGCCTATCTGAAATTCACATGTCTATGCTTGTGTGGCCTATGTCATCACAATTACCTGAGCTCATTAAATTTTAAAGTAATTATGCTGAAATCTTTCCTTTCTTCCGTTCCCTCCTTCTCAGTCTCTCTTTCTGTCTTTTTTTCTTTTTCTCTTTCTTTTCTTTCCTTCTTTCCTTTTCCTTTCCTTCCCATACTTTTAGTTATCAATTAATGGTAGCTTGAAATTATCAATGGAAATATTCTAGAAATATGCAATTCTTATTTTGAAATTGCATATTATTCTAAATAATTTGATGAAATCACATGCTGTCTGGGACAAAGAATATACTGTTTCAGTGTGTCCTCTCCAAATCTACTCCATGTTAGCTACTCACTTGTTCGTTGTTCAGTTTATCAGGACAACCATCATAGCATGGCAGGGCTTGTGTTTAAGGAACTTTTCTTTTACTCAATAATGTCTCAAAAGCATGAAAATAGGAGTGCTTGAAACCTGGATAGGGCAAAAAGAGGCACTTACTTCATTTAAAAATATGCAAGTTCTCAGCTTAATGAAAGAGAAAATTTATACACTGTGATTTCTAAGATCCATCATAAGAGTGAATCTTATATCCTGAAATTGTCAAGAAGAAAAAGGAAATTCATGCTACATTTGTATACCATCAAATATAAGATTCACTTATTCATCAAACACAAGTTGAAAAAAGTATATATATTACACATTGGGATCAATGCTATTCCCAGACCCTCTGAGGATAAAAGGGAGTATCTGTATTTCTGTTATATTCTATTATATGGATACCTTTCCTACACAGTATTTATTTTCCCATCTACTTTTTTTCTTTTTTATTTATTTAGTAAAGATTTCTGTCTCTTCCCCACCGCCGCCTCCCCTTTCCCTCCCCCTCCCCCAACCAAGTCCCCCTCCCTCATCAGCCCAAAGAGCAATCAGGGTTCCCTGCCCTGTGGGAAGTCCAAGGACCACCCACCTCCATCCAGGTCTAGTAAGGTGAGCATCTATTTATGAGTAACTTAGTTGCTGACTATTGCTACAATAAAAATAAATCTCTATGAACACAAAATTCTGCTTTAATTATACTATATTGTACTTCTCAGAGGTCTGGGAATATAGGTAAGGGAGCAACATATTCCAGATTTGATATCTCTGTAAGTATCTGTCTGCATTTTTTTTTCAGGGTAAGCAGTGATAGCCCATACCTTCTGGAG